TACTTAAACTTTTTTTTTTTTTTTTTTAGTTTGCCATTTATTGGGATGTTTTATTTTAAACACTTTGTATAGAGTTTCCAATATCAATATGTAATAGTAAAAATATATATATATATAAAAAGTGATGTGATCGAGTCAATGAGTTAAAGCAGGTACTCAGCTGGAGGCTATTAACAGGAACACACAATTTCTAAACATTGATATAACAACCAACTCTCGCTTGATCGTTCATAATTAAACAGAATACAGCTTAGCAGCAGGAAGCTTTTGCTTTAGAGAATTGCAGTTTCATATCTAGATCACACCTACCAGGCAACACCATGTTAAGGCAGCAAATGCTGTGAAATTCCCATCAGCATTTCCTCTGACGTCTTCCATTGGGAGAGCAGGATACACCACCCTCTCCTTTCTGGGCCATACATATGGAGGCTCTGTGCTGCTACAGAATCTCTAGCCCTGCTATTTGGTAGCACAGCTGAGGCCTCCCTTAAAGGAGGGGATTCCCCATGACAGAGTCAGGTGCGTGAGTGAATCTTTAAGTATAACCTATAGGTCCCCTCCTCAGGACCTTCTCTTGCCCTACCCATTCTTTGCCTGTTCAACCCACAGCTTGATTCCTTCTAATCTGCACAGATCTCCAGACACACAGATAGCTCTTTTTGGGGCTCAGAAGATGCCTTGGGAGCTGTATTGTGACTCTTTTCTGTATTGTGAGGGAGTGATCCACACATGGCAAGAGCCCTATGTATGGATCAAAAGACATGAGCTAGTCCTCTGTTAGGGAACCTCAAAATGAGATCCATTTCTCACTCCAATCCCTAGAAGGCTGATAGTTGTTCCTGTGCTCAGCATTGTACTAACAGGGGAAGATAGAGTCCTGCTCCAAGGAACTTACAATCTAACTCAAACCCTGACAGTACAATAGAGACCTATCTGATAGTCAACAAAGGTCCAAAATTCAGGTAAGGTTCTCTGCTTATTACTTAGTAGTAGGAGAACATTGAATCATCTCCCATAAGTTGTACAATTCTGTTGAAGACCATTAGTTCGTTTCTGGTTATGGTTGTACGGGGGGGATTAGAAATGTTGGTGGCTAGCAAAGCAGATATAATATATTTTGCTACTCTGAAATATTGATGAAAGGGACAGTTAGTGCACTCTGATCTAGTAATACGTCTCACTGACTCACTGTATTTTCCAGCTGTGGACATGTAGACAGTTCCTTTGTAAAATACGTGATCTGGAAACTATACATTGTGGAACTGCAGATGTGGCTTCCCAATAAAGTCACCCCAAGTTGATAGTGCTCAGCACTTTGCAGGATGGGACCTAAAGATTGTAACCTAGTTTCTTATAAACTTCATTTAAGCACACTCCTTCCATCAACTCTGAATCTCCTTTGCACCTGAAATTTCTCATGCAGACCCTATTCAATGAAGACATTTTTTTTAAGTTTCACTGGCATTGAATTAGGTATTTTGAAAAACATATTTTTCACTTGCAGAATGTAGTGGCTTCTTATAAAGTTGTCTTAAAATGGTAATTGTTTACATGTTCAAGGGGAACTAATGCAGTGGACTATTTTTCAATAAAAATGGGTGAATAAATTTTGACCTATTTTCTCCGGAAATCCTGAGTCTCTGAGGTCTCTTCAGATATAAACTCACTGACTGGGGTTTCAGAATTTACAAGCTCCACAGACAGCCCTGGAGGACCTTACAAGCACTGTAAACCAAATAACCTGAAGGCTGCTTTAACTTACATTAGTACAGAAGCTCCAGAATCAGGGAGTGTAACAAGCTCCCTGATGTCACCCCATTCTTGCACCAAATATATTTCAGTGCAGGAGAGAATCTGGCTCTCAGTTTTTCCACTGAACTTTTAAAATGAAATGTAGTTTCGTGGATTTTTCTGAACTCTTACATTCACTATTGTGACTAAAGTTGTATCAGCAAATATTCATACTATCTATACATTAAATATCCAATAAATGTTTTCTAGGTA